TTGGGCAATAAGATTTATTAACTTAAACTTGGAGATATGTGAAGTTATATGAAAAACACATAGAAGAGGGGGTTGAATATGTGTGTGTGAACGGAGGAATTTTAAAATCATTTTCGCAAAGAGAATCTTTTTCCTCTAGTAAAAATATTATTTTGAATTCTTAAGGACTGTGCATGATTTGCTTAAACAATAATTTTTGCGTCTAAAAGTTCATCATATGCACAAAGAAAATGTTTCTTAAAGGAAAACTATTTCTTAAGGTACTGAATTAAACAAGTGTATTTTTTGTCTGAAAATAGTTTTGGTGAAGAATAAACAATGGATGAAATTTTCAATATGATGTAGCAGTTAAGTGATATTGCGTATGAAAGATAAATAAAAAGTGCAAGGATTTTTATACTGGTTCACTCAGATTGAGCTACGTCTAGTCTCCTTCAATTGAAGGGTTCCACTAGATGTTCAATGAAGTACAAGTATTATCACCACTTCTGGTTTGTCGAGTATTATCGACCACTTTTGACCTGCCAACTTCAGTCGTCAGCGCTAGTATTCTTTGATCAGCCTCTTCAAGCTCTTAGTGAGTATTCTTGACCACTCTTGATCCTGAGTATTATCAACCACTCCTGGTTGGCTAACTTTTCTCATTAGCTCTAGTATTCTTTGTTCAGCCTCTTCAAGCACTTAGTGAGTATTCTCGACCACTCCTAGTCCCAAGTATTATCAACCACTCCTGGTTTGCTACTAGCCCTAGTATTCTTTGTTCAGCCTCTTCAGGCTCTTAGTGAGGATTGTTGACCACTCCTAGCACGCCAACTTCACTTATTAGCGCTAGTATGCTTTGTTCAGCCACTTCTGGCTTGTAGTGAGGATTCTTTGACAAGCCTCTCCAGGCTTTTACAAGTATTCGTTCCCTAGCCTCTTCAAGCCTTACAAATGATAGATAGATGATTTGGTTTGAGTGTTTGGTTTACTCTCACAAAGAGGATACAAGAATTTCTACATTCACTAAGGTGTATGTTCATAAGTTACACTCAAAACTCGTTAGTCTACGAAGATAAATACACTATTGGTACATTTGACTCTATAAGCTTTGTCTCTGGTTCCATTGCTTCATGGGCTTGATATCACTCTTTTTCAACACCAACCTTTCCAGGTTTGAAGTTATGACATATATATAGTCTTGTAAAATTTGACCGTTGCAAATGTCCGTTGAAGCATAATATAGTCATTCATGACCAGTTCGATCTTTCATTTAATGCACAAGATCTTGCATTAAATGTTGCTTCCTGTTTATAGACATTAATTGTGTGAAGTCTTCTTTGTTTTGTTAGTAGCAGTGTCTAACTTTAGCTGAGACCTAGGAACTTTTTGTCATTTTTCGATCGCATAGCTGTAAAGACGTTGTCCTTATCTGAAAAAGTAATGTACTTTTTCTTACACATGCATGCTTTTACTTTTGCGCTTGCTTTTCTTCTTCTTCTTCTCTTCCTTTAATCACGCGATCATGTTGAGAGATTTTGTATGATCGTAGACGATGTCTGAATTGTCCCTTGAGACTTGATTATTCAAATGCTTGCATGGCAGTCTTCGTCTGCGTATGATAATCCATGTGCATCTCAAGTCTTGATCTTCGTCTGAGCATTACTCATTAATACTTTGACTTTCTTCTGATCTTTGACCAACCTTCATCTGATTTCTTATATTGCATTCTAGGTTGTCCTTGACACACCTTCGTCTGTTATTTGATTTATCATCGTCTGATGCTTATGTCGTTTTTCATCTATCATTTGGTTTTGCTTCGTCTGATCCTCATTGTATGCTTTGCTTTGAGTAATCTTCTTCTGGTAGACCATTAAGCTTTATCTGATATCCTTCGTCTATTCGGACTTCACCCGATGCTTAACCACTTTTGTCTTGTTCTTGATTTAGCCTTAATTGGTATTTGTTTTGGCCTTTCCGTCTGATGCTTGAAGCTTTCCTTCTTTTCTCTTGGCACTAGTGTAGGAAGTGGCACGTGCTCTATTCTTCAACTTGCCTATACTTATGTTTTTCTGAAACACTAACATACTTGTTAGAAATAACAACATGTATTATATTTGTCTCATTCAAAACCTTACTAGAATTGTTTCGTCTGATTTAACAATATGGACTCAGAGTTAAAAGTGAATATCTTGTGGTTACCAAATACAAAGGAATGGATATATAAAAGTTGTCAAATTAGTTTCCTCGTGTGATATATAATTGAATAGTTAAAGAAGCCTTCCAACCCAATGTGCTCCATGGACAAATATTTTATACAATAAACAAATAGACAATAGTCTTATACATAAGAATGACAATGTGAGTTGAATTAGGTGGATCAATTCACCAACTCAACTATTTTTTTGTGGGTTTAGTTGGACAAAAAAAACCACCAACCTATTCCACCCAACCCGTCAATCCGGCAAGATCAACATGCTAATTATCTATCTCTTTTTTCACCCTTTTTATGTTTTTAAAAGATAAATTTATGGTGGATTTATGTTGGATCAATGTTTTTGTTTTATAGCTTAACTTCTCTTTCTAGGTAATTATTCTCACATTATTTGAAATAAAAGTATATTGTTTCAATCACATATTTTTCTAGCACATTTTCATGTATAATGTCTTTTTTTTAATAGAAATATATAATACTTTAACTCTTTGCATGAAAAAAATATATCACCTCCAATAAATTGTACTACTAATAATAAAATTATAGGTTGAAGTGATAATGTATATTGAAATATTTTAATTGAGATTCTACTAAAAAATAATTGGATGGATTGAAGGTGAGTCAACTTGTCAATTTACCATTTTTAATTCATCAACTCATTAAAGTGGGGTCAACCTATCATCAACTCACCACCCCCTTAAGTAGAATGAGTTACATTTTCAACCGGTTTTTTTGGTGAGTCAACCTGCCTCATTTTGTTAGTGGGTCAACCTATCCCATCATGCTTTAGGTTGTTTGACCCAATTTGTCACCCGATTAAGTTGGGAGACAAGCTAGTGCTCTCAAAGATCAATGGAACGCATGCTTCCTCAAGCAACATTAACCATGTTGTACTATTATTGTCTATCTTCATGATCAATTAAAAAACACAGTCCATCACAAACCCTCAAATATATATAAAAGGAACATTAATAATATAAGACATGTGATGACAATATTCTCAAAAAATTATTTGTCATAATTGGCAAGTCTTTTACAATATAGCATTTTCTTACCAATAATAAATTTGGGATAACAAAACTAGCATTTTTTTTTATAAGAATAACCCAAAATCTCACAAAAATAAAATAAAGTACAATAATATCACTACAATAAATATTACATACAGTGACATACAAAAAATGTCATTATAAGTATAATATATGTAAGTATATATCTATTTAGCATATAGCTACACACAATTTTAGTGTTGATTCTGAATGAGATTTAACAACATATTTTATGTGTCACTATAGCTTATACCCACATTTTTTAACAATATACCAACATATATTATATTTATTGTGCAGGTAAAAATAGTTTTTAGTGACACTTATTGTATTACTATAGAATGTGTGTCACTATACGACAATTTTCTTATAGTGTATTCACTAATTAGAAAATCAACTATTGATATTACAATTAATTATAAATTTTATTATGCAAGAATTTGATTTTATCATAAATTTTAATTAATTATTTTCTAATTAATCAACAATTGAGAGTACATTTAATCTTTTAAAGTATACCTCTTTATTAAGTAATCCAAATTTGAGAAAAACAAAATAAGAAAAGATATGGGGAGAGAACACTCCAAAGATATTATATTCATAATGACCAATAAAAACAACATTTTTAAAACCACTTAAAACCAAATCAAAGAGATAAGATGTGATCAAATCTTAAGAGATTGGGTCAATAACACCAAGTCAAGAAGACAAAAGTTAATGTAAAACAATTTTGATGAGCAGCTGAATTAATTTAAAATATGTTTCTAAATTTAATCAAATAAAAATATTAACCTCTTAAAATATCAAGCAAAATACACAACAAACAGTTGTTTTCTGAAAAAGCTTTGGTCAATTAAGGCAAGCCCAAAATGTATAAACTTATCACGGAAGCCCAAAATCCACGGTAAACTCATTTTTCACATGCAAATATGCAATGACGAGTGACATGTCTACGTTTGTCTATACCCTCCATGCATTCGTATCGAGTATATTCCGTCATTGATATGTATTGAATTGGTCCTTTGCAAACTCTACCAACCCACTTTTGTCGAAAATCAATAATTTCATCAAAGCGTAAAAGACCCGTAATGTTAAGAAACAGTAGAACGCGCAAGTGCGACGTTATGCGCACGAGATTATCCTGTTAAACCGTTGCCAAACTTCTTATTTACATTAATAGGATATTGACTTGAACCAAACGCTACTCTTTGATCCTATCATATTTATATAAACTAAACGTATATGAGATAATTGAGTGTTGTCTAGAAGCAAACATAAAATATTCCAACGTGCAACATGAGTGCGTGGAATAAATTTCTTTAAGTTAATAGTTAAGCTCAGTCTTACATATATATTAAAGAAATAGTGATCAAGTAATTTAACTACTAAAATAATGTAGATTATCAGAGTTAATTATGCTTGCAGAGAATAAAAAATTTAAATGAAATTTACAAGATAGTGGTAAGTTGTATCTTTTCTTTTGACCCATTAACTATTAAAAGAATACTAAGTAAATAAAAGTAATGTTAAAAATTCCATGTCACCTACCAGGCAATAATTTCACCTCCTGTAATTGATCCATTGGTCCTTTCGATGAATCTACTACTCCTTTTGGAGTGGAAAAAGGGCAGAGGTAAAGTTCTGAATGATTATAATGGTACTATTACTTTGCAATTTTCAACGATATTAATTGTTTTTAGCATCTTATAATATATTCACGTTGAAGTTTTAAACAGCCATGATTCACGTTTCATTATTAGTTTTTCTTCGAACGTTCCCTCGGCTATTATAGTTCTATTTAAATCTAAAAGATAGAGTTTGTGACAAATGAACATAGCTCACAGAAAAGCACTATTATCTCCTTCAATTCACGTATAATATTCTTGCTCCTTGTTACTTCGTAATAGCCATGGCAAGCAATTGCAATTGCAACAAGAGCTTCGCGAACAGCTACATGTTGCTGAAGCCCGAAGATGCGGGTTTCTTTGATCTCCTTCGAGTCTTAATTTACCGAAACTTGTCACAAAGAAAGTTTGTGGATAGCCATGCAGAGGATAGTTTGGACGAAAGTTTGGGTCACCGGTGGCTTATATTTTTGTCTATTTTGGCCCAGAAGCTTTTGCAGCTTGTGGCCAAGCCACTATCACTCTTTGGGACATGTGTTGAGTTTTTGATCAACCTGGTTGCCCTCAACGGTGGTGTATTCAGCCTTGTCTTTAACTTTCTCAGAGGTTACCTCTTCTTCCCTCAGTGTTAATATGTTTTTTCGTGCTCAAGTTTTCGTTAAGCAATTAGTTGGTGTATGTTTTGCTACTTGCTTGTGTTTAGGAACAAATTAATATTTCTAATACATAGTGGGAGAGGAAGAATTCTGCACCACATAATAATCCTACATATAACTGGAATATGATATGCCTATTTTCGTATAAAAAAAAATTAATACTTCCAATTCATGATTAATTTGACCCTCGATCGATTGTTGAGATATATCCCTTTGAAGACATACATATTAATTAATCTTGCTTTGGTATTTACAACTTTTTGTTATTTTCACGATTTTTTATATGTTTAAAAGTAAAAAAATAAAATATAAATGAAGTGATTTGGTAGTTATTTGAGAGGGAAAAAAAAAATAGACCCATGATTTTCGGTTTTGTGAGAAAATCCAATAAAATTCATGAAGTCGTTTTAGCTCATGAAAGCAATTATTCCCTCAAAATTTATATGGAGTGACAATGGTAAAATAGATTGATTGACCAATTTGAGGTACTTTTAAAAATTATTTACGTAAATGAGGTTGTTTTGAAACTATTTACACCTTTAGGACATTTTATTATGGTGTTGCTATGGGTTATAGCGACACAGTGACACGTGTACTTTTTTAAATCGTAAGAAGTCATGAACTTCATATTATTAATGTCGCTACAATCTATGACGACACAAAATAGCTTTAATGAAATCATTATAGCTTACAACGCCACCAATTAAATAATTTTTTATAATATAACTCACTGAAAAATTGAGTATACAATTTTTTTTAACAAAAATAACATAAAAAAATAAATAAAACTAAAAATATTTATAATATACATGTAATAAATTGAAATTTCATAAAAATTAAAATTTTACAGAAGTATAAAATTAAAATTTCATAAAAATTGATAGGAAATAAAATTAAATAAAATAAAATTAAAAAATCAAGATGTCGTTATAGCCTATAGCGACATAGTGTCCCTATGGCCCACAACGCCACATTTTAAATAATTTATTATAAATTAATTACTGAAATTTTAAATATATAGTATTTTTTTAACAAATAAAATTAATTTAAAATTTTGTAGTGTATAATATAATAAATTAGAAAAAATAAAATATTTATAACGGCACAATTTATTTATAAAAAATAGCATAAAAAATAAAAAATAATAAAAAAAACAAAATATTTTATTTAAAAATATCCCAAAGGTGTAAATAATTTCAAAATAACTTCATTTAAGTAAATAGTTTTTAAAAGTACCCCATATTGATCAATCAATCAAATATCTTTCTAAATCAATAAAACTTGCTGACTTGGTTTAAAATGAACATTACAATAAAATAAATTTTTAGTCACATTAAAAATAACTACAAAATATTATATCAATATTTTCATATTAGTTATTATGTGTAGTGTTGATAAAATTTATTGATATGTTGATAAAAATCTTTATAATGGTTGAAAAAAATATATAAGTTTTTGTGATATTTATTTTTATTGACATTTAATATTTTTTATTGTTGTCATTAAAAATTTAAGAAAGGATTCCTAGTTTATATATTTTTTTAATTATCTTATCTCTAATAGATGTGAGACTTATAAGATGATAATTTTTCTTTACTTATATATTCTTTAATTAACTTATTTTTAGTCGATATTGGACTTAGATTTTTTTCATTACACTCTCAAATCTAACACTATTGAACTTGGTACGTGAATAAATAATGAATGATCTAATACCATCTTAAAAGTGAATTATGAATCTAACTCAAATTTATAAAATCAGTTTATAAGATAAAAGTTGTTCTCCACTTATATATCCTTTAATTATTTTATCTGTAGTTGACATAGGATTGAATTTTTTCTTAATAAAATGAATTAAAAATTACTTTATTTTTTATTAGAACATTTTCAACAATTATTCTTATAAATATATTTTTAATAATTATTATTTATTAGTCATTAATATCTTTATTAAATAATAAAATAAAAATAATTAATTTATTGTCATTAAATAATTATCATTAATAGTAAATTTTATTTAATGGAAAAAATGTTTTAAGCATTGGAATTATATAGGGAATACACTGTGTTTTCACCGACCTTTTCTGAAAAATGTTTTATTAAATAGTGAAATATTGACAATGGACTTATTATCACTAATAATTGATTAAAAACAAAATTTGCTGTAGTGATGATTATCTCATTTACCAGTAATATGAATGCATTTCAAGATGATTCACTTCTTATATAATTATATAAACAGGTAAATTGGTGTTACCGGATCCTAAATCAGAAAAATATTTGTCTTTTGTTGGAAATTTGGACGTGCGAGTAAAGATGGACCCCGTCCAGCGAGAAGATTACAAGTACTATCCTGCACTTTCTATGATGGCTTCCAAAGCATCCTACGAGAACGAAGCTTTCCTTAAAACTACCGTGGAGGATTACTGGAATGTATGAAATTAATTAATGATTTTGTTAATACCAGACCAATTTTGTTTTTAAAATTATTAATAGCGAAAGATTTTTATTAAAACAAATATTTATTTTACTTTCAAATTTCTGACTTAATAAATACTTTTTGAATATAAAATTACTTAAAGCAAACTATAACAACTTACGTTAACATATCACTATCGTAATTGTTCTGTTTTGATCCTTTTATCTTTTCTGTTTAATCAAGTTTACTTTGATGTATCTCTCATTATATTTGTTTTCTGATGAGTTCTACAGATGGAATTTGTGGGGTTCTTCAACTGCTTAAATGGTAAGACCTAAAAAAGCATATCTATATATGTTCCTATACAATTACAAATTAAATATTGAGAGAACTATCCGTAGTTTGAAAAGACTCTCTACGTGCTTATATATATATATATAGTAATATTATTTATTTATCTATTGAAATTTATGTAAACTTTTGAATCTACGTTGGTCTTATTTTTATTCATTCATTAGGATCGGTCCTTTTAATTAAAATTAACCGATATTAGTCTTAATGATTTAATTATATATATTTTTATATAGAAAAGATAAGAAACACTATTTAATAAATTTATTAAAATTAAGTCACGTGGTTTTGTAAATTTTAATTACTCTTTATAATAATGTGAAAAGTGAATTGGCATTTCTTTCTCCAATATATCTTTAAAATATACACACGCACATGTTTGACTTGGACTTAGCAGAATACCAAGGAAAGACTACAACTCAAGTCTTCATTGCTTTGGATAAGCACAAGGATCGCCACACTTATGTTGTAGCCTTCAGAGGAACCGAACCCTTTGATGCTGATGCATGGTGCACCGATGTCGACATCTCGTGGTACGAGATTCCCGGCGTTGGAAGACTTCACGGTGGATTCATGAAAGCCCTAGGGCTTCAGAAGAACGTTGGATGGCCTAAGGAAATTGAAGAGCGAGACAAGAATCTTCCACCCTTAGCGTACTACGTTATTAGGGACATTCTTAAAAAGGGTTTGAGAGAAAATGATAAAGCTAAGTTTATAGTAACGGGGCATAGTTTGGGTGGAGCACTGGCGATTCTGTTTGGGACGATCTTGTGTTTGCACGATGAGACGTTGTTGTTGGAGAGGCTGGAAGGGATTTACACGTTTGGGCAACCACGAGTTGGAGATGAAGCATATGCAAAGTATATGAGACAAAAATTGAAGGAACATTGTGTTAGGTATTGCAGGTTTGTTTACTGCAACGACCTTGTTCCGAGGTTGCCCTACGATGATAAGGAAATGATGTTCAAGCACTTTGGGACATGTCTTTTCTTTAACAGGCGATATGAACTCGAGGTAAGCTATACGATGCTCATCGTAATTAATTAGAAAGTATACGCAAAATAATTTTTTTTTTTTTAAAATTTTCTATATATATATTCCACTAACTTCTCCACCTATTTTTCTTAAACAATTAAAAGAATCACAAAATATTACAATAATTTTTACTTATAATGTTGTTTATTGAATATATAAAGGATAAAAAACACATATATAATAAAGATGTTAAAGTGACTTAAATTTTATGGATCAATCTACTTAATCCAATGAAATGGGTTAGGTTGAAATGAATAATTCACCTCTTCAACATGCTTTACTTGTTAATCTAATTAATCATGAGGTAAGTTAGGTTAACTTATTGATTTAGTGTACTTTTATATTTATGAAAAAACATTTAGTTAAATTAATATTGTTTTATTGGACATAATTTTTTGTAAATTAAATATTATTAATTTCATGTTATCACTAGTACAGAAAGGGTCTTTTACGTCGTGTATTTTGAGAGGTAAGTCCTCCTATTTATAGGAATCTGCCTCAGCTAATCCGGAACAGCCCATTCCAAAAGTGGAACGGCCGTTCTGGACCCTCCAAAACCAAGCAAAAATCTCAACTGGAACGGCCCG